AGCATTAAAAGATGGCTTGAAGCAAAATGTCTGCAATTGGCTGATCATAAAACAGAAGCCATTCTCATTAGCAGCCGGAAAAAAAGTAGAGAAGGTTGTAATCAGAGTTGGGGATTGCATCATTTAATCAAAGTCATGCGTTAAATACCTAGGTGTGATCATTGACCATCGGCTAAACTTTCGCGATCACCTCGAATACGCGAATAATAAAGCCACAATAGCAACCACTTAGGCAGTGGCAAACGTCAACGGACCGAGCCAGCAAAGCAAGCAGCTCCTCGCAGGGGTAGTTAAATCAATCCTGCTCTATGCTTCTCCGATTTGGTATACAGCATTGGAAATAGATTCACACGCCCGTGGCGCTAAGTCCACTTACCCTCGATGCGCATTCCGTGTCTGCGCAGCTTTCCGCACCGTGTCAGAGGCGGCAGCCTTAGTTATCGCCGGGATAATCCCTCTAGACATATCCGCTAGGAAAACAAACACATTTGCAAGTCTTAGACGAGAAGAACGGAGCTACAGTATTAAAAGTGACGAAAGACTTTTATCTATTGCTCGCTGGCAGAGAAGATAGAATAATAGTGAAAAAGTAAGATGGACCCACCGTTTGCTCCCAAATCTTGCGGTATGGCTAGGCAGGAAGCATGGCGAAGTAGACTTCTATTCAACGCAAGTGTTCAGCGGTCATGGATACTTTAAAAGTTATCTGCACCGCTTTGGCCATGAAGCAGATTCATATTGCGAAGTTTGCGGCCCAGATTTTATAGACGACTTGCGGGGCAGCGGCGAAGGCTGAGTGAGTCTCTAGGCACCGACTTGACGCCAGAAACTCTCGTTAAATGCATGCTGTAAAATGAAAATGCCTGGGTTACAGTTAGCAGAATTGCAGCTAAAATAATGCAACATTTGCGATGGAGCAAACAGCGGAGGCGAAGGCGATAACAGCTAATAGCTCCAACGGCCTTCTGACGAAATACTGAAAGGTAGTACCGGGGGTCACCATACTGGTGAGGTGGTTTTAGTGTGTTAAAGTCTCAAGTGACGGGGTTAAGGCTTTCCATGCTTTCCATCTCAACAAGAAAAAAAGAAAAAGAAAAAAACCCATTGCAGACAACGAGCTCGACAAGCAACGACGATCTATTGGCTAATTAAATTTTGAAACTATGATCGCTCTTTTTATACCTTTCTGCACGCAGGCAGAAATCTATTTTAAAATAACAACTATTGTAATAAACAGTTTCATTTAATTATATGGTGTGTATGTACGTGTACATACCCATGTATTCATGAAAAGATCATATTTGGCTCCTAAAAGTATACGGATACATATTTGCGGGACTCTTTGTTGTTATTTATATGATACTAGACACAGCTGTTTTTATTAGGCTCATTATCATATCATTCCTGGAACAAGCAACAACACTATGTCAGAGGAAACTGGTGATTCTCGTAATTTGTAGCACGGCGCTGTGATAAGATTCCTTGTAAAAGGAAGTACGTCGAAAGAAATTTTTAAAGAGTTGTCATCGGTTCTTTCTGCTCCTTCATATGCGATGGTGAAAAACCGTGCTCGGTCATGTNGACAATCAAATAAAACAAAATACACGTAGGTTGTAATGAAATAAAATATTAAGCTTATTGGTTCTACTTTATTTTAGTTCAGTATAATCCTCTTTTTCTATTAAATGAAAATTATTTGAAATGCAATTTTAAATAAATTTTGTTTTTTATTTACATAGTCAAGAGAAATGTTGATTCTCTAAATTTCTTTTTCCACATCAGAGAAATTTATTTATTGAATCTGCTTTAAAATCTTAATAACTAATAAATTATTGCTTTAGCCCATTAAGAGCAGTGGAAGTCAGGTTAAAAGCTGCTCTTCAAAATACTGAAAGATCTCTTCTTCGAAGGCTAGTCCGACTTGGTGGGCAGGGTAACGTTCGCTAGAGGATTCGGTGTTTATACCAAGGTGCCCGTGTGAGGTATCGTTGCGTTTTTGATTGGAATCGCTGTATTTTATGCGCAGGCAGGCCCCATAACTGTATTCAATACATCCGTATAGGCTTTACGAGTATGGCAGGATTATAAAGAAGGATTTTTTGATCCAACCATAAGCCCGAATTTTCACCAAATAATAAATTTTATGCTGAAGGTTTTAAGGTTACGGTTCTTCCAGATGTGCCGATATATTTAACTTCGCTTAATTGAGGGATCATTACGCTGTTTTGTTTCACTGCTGGGCATGTTTCTGTCTTTAGACATCCTTACACTTTTGCTCGTTCACTTTTGACAGCCAACTTCCAACGAGTTGTGGATTATTTTCTAATGCGATTAAGACTTTTATTGGGCACTTGCTCTGACCTGAAATAGCGGTATCGTCTGCGAGTATTGAGATTAATACCTTTGCGTCGTTGGAATGTCTACAGTAAATAAGGCACACGCATTGGTCCCAAAACGTTGCCTTGATGAACACCTGCCATATTTGGATATTCCTCTGAGATCAATATCTTTACCTTAACTGTAAACCTTCTGTTAGTGGGTATGATATGAAGATCTGATATATATTTTTGGCAAGGTCATTTTAATTTTGTTTACATGAAGGACTTAATGTCTTATCGAATGCTTGAGCCACATCAAAAAATATGGCTGAGCAATACTTATTCAACTCAAATGCCTTCCTTACCTCATTGGTAATGCGATGGACTTGTTCAATAGTACAATATCATGTTTTTCGCGAAAACCGAATTTATCATTTAGTGCAGTTTCGTATTCGTGGAGAAAAGGGGATATCTTGGACAGCAGGGCTTTGGAAAGAACGGGCAACAATCTAATTGGCCGATACGATGATGGCAGCTTTGCGGAAGATATCCAATCTCAAATACGGCATTAAGAAGTGATGTGGTGCTATGGGGTCGTAACCAGACGAGTTTATATATTTTTTTATGATTTTTATCTCAGATGAGGTCATACTTACGTCGGGAATAGTCCAAGTGGTATAGTGAGACATAAATGGAATCGTAAAATTACTCATTGCGGCATTGAGTTGGAATATTTCACTAAGGGGATTTGCAAAGCATTTTGCCTTTTCTTCTTCAGAACGGGCCTATGTACTGATTTTCTGTCACTCAATCACTCAATTTCTACTGGGGGCTTAAAGTTCTTTGGCCTCGAAGTAGAGATACATAAAGTTCTTAAGGTGCGCCTCTCTTTTTCACATTTTAAAGCTCTGCTCAGCTTTTTCTCAGCAGCTTTCAGTTTTATTTAGATGATGTGGATCGATTATTCCGCCATTCTAGGCGTAGTCTACGCCTTTCGATTACTAGGCGCTCAATCAGTGGTTCGTTTTGTACTTCGGAGAGGTCAGGTAAAGGAAAAATCATATCAAGAAAGTGGTAGAAATAAAAGAAATAAAACCTCCAGCAAATTTCAATAGAGATGAAATATTAAGGATAAAAAGTTTTGATGCCCATTTCAAAATATCCCAAGGTGAAAAAAGATCATGGAACCGAATACAGGTACAGAAAGTAATACAACTCTCAAGACAGCCGGTTATACGCACCAGATTTGACCCGGTATTTACCCCACTAAGGGCTGTCACCCTTTCGGCGTTCTAACCCCGTTTAGATCAACAGGTAACATTAATTTAAGTGGTTGCTCTGGCGGGTGCCATTTTCGGACGTGATTTGGTCTGTGCACCACCCGTGAGTGGAGTGACGTGTACATACAAATCTCATTCTAATTTCCCGACGGAAGGGCGACATAGCGAAAAGGAAAGCCTCCAAATCCATCTGACCCAACGGAATAAGCATTCTGATCGGACATGTGAAAATGGGCAGAGTGGTCCCGCTACTCAAGTCGAGGAGACTAGCCAACAAATCAGAGTCTCATCGGCCGATAACTCTCCTCTCCCCAGTATCCAGGTTACTTGAGCCTTTGTTGCTCCTTCCACTTTCACTCATCAGCTGTGTCCAGCTGCACATCAACATGGCTTCCTCAAAGAACACAGTACCACAACATCACTAAATGCCATAAACACTCAGATAGTCAATTGCCATAACCAAAATCTACCCTGCGCTCGAACTGTCCTGGTAGCACTACATCTGTCAAAAGCTTTCGACATATTCAATTATTCAGTGCTACTAACGGACATTGAGGAATCCTCATTACTGCCGGAGTTGCAGCGGTAGATCATGGCATGGCAATACGGATACATATTTGCGGGACTCTTTGTTGTTATTTATATTATACTAGACACAGCTGTTTTTATTAGGCTCATTATCATATCATTCCTGGAACAAGCAAAAGCACTATGTCAGAGGAAACTGGAGATTCTCGTAATTTGTAGCACTGCGCTGTGATTAGATTCCTTTTAAAAGGAAGTACGAAAAAATTTTTAAAGAGTTGTCAACGGTTCTTTCTGCTCCTTCATATGCAATGGTGAAAAACCGTGCTCGGTCATGTGAAGATGACTCCCGCCCCGCGCGGAAAGTCGAAAAATTAATACAAGCTGTGCGACGATCTGAATTGTGGCGAATGGCAGAATGATTACAGATTAGCAGAGAACGAGCTGGAGAGATTTTTTCCGAACATTTGAATATGAAAAATTAGTGCGCGTTGTGCCAAGATGGTTGATGAAATTTCAACCGCATTTTAACATTTGATGAAAATTGGATTCTTCAGTATGTGGTAAAAAAGGGAAGGGCATCAAAAAAATTCTCAGTAGAAAAGTCCTCATCGAAGTTTAAAAGCTACCACCCACCCTACAATCCGGACCTGGGATACTGTGACCTTTTCCTTATTCTCAGTTTTCAGTCTAAATTAAAATGTACTCCACAACCCTCCTCTGGCTTCGCGCTTAGCTGGGTGGTAAGTAAACTGGCTGGTTCGGCTATTACATTCTCAACAAAAAAATAATAATAAAGAAAAAATCGAAATTTTTCACTTCTGTATACATATTTATATTTTCATATTTAATTTTATATTTATTCATATTTTTGTTATTTTTTTTTTTTTTTTGCTTGCTCTTTCACCTAAAAACATCGAAACTAAATAGAAAAGAATAGAAAGTAAGCAAAATATTGCATATTAATTACACAGAACTGTATGTGTATATATTTGTATGTTATTAACTTGTCAATGAGTTCGCATAAAGACCACTCCTTTACGCCGGTAATCCCTTGAAGCCCTTCGCACGCAAATTTTTAGTGAAGCAGGCGTTTAAGGCTGCAGCATTTTCGCAGCTGTAAATTAAATAAAAACAATATGTACAACCTGAAATTTATTACGGATTAAAACAATATTTCGGCTTACGCATTGGGGTGCTGGGGAACTTTCAAACAAGCCTGTAAGCCTTCCATCCCAATTTTCTCGATGCTTGCATCGCCGGCGGCACCAGCCTTAATGAATTCCACCATTACCGCCTCGTTAATTTTATTATTTTCACCCAACTGTTAATTTACATATAAAGATATATGTTGAAGATAGTAATTAATTATGTAAGAACTTACCGCACCGCTTTTTTTCAAAACACATTCGGTCAAGCATTTACCTTTGTCAGTGTTTGGAGCTTGGTAGTTCAATAAATTCTCATAATCGGCTGGAAAATGAGATTCAAATTGAAATAAATCGTTTTTAGGCTAAGAGTTCTGGGCCTACCATCACTAGCACCGGTACTTCCTTTACATTCTTGGGCGAGTTTTGTGACTTTATCCACAAGGTCATTAGCCTGAAAATAAATAACAAAATTTATAATAACTTTTTACCAAAGCTCTCCAGTTTGTTCTGCGTTCTGAGTTAAGCTGAAAAGAGTTTTCGATAGAAGGCTGTGAAATCAGAGCGAATGAGATTCAACATTAAGCCTCGATACTTCCATACAGTTCCAACCCACGAAGTATAGCAGATGCTCAAGCCTCGAGGCCATACAGGACGCAGGCTTCCTAAACCTTTCAAAGAATGTTCACACTCAAGATTTGTTAGTTGTATTCCACTGCTTTCTTCAGCCACTTTCATCAATATTTAGCACTCGCTCTTATTGAATTTTATGATCTTTTACCTCAGTGTTCGAGATGATTAAGCCGCAGACAAGCAGAAATGTCAAAATGAGCTTCATTTTAAGAAATTTTTAGGTTAACTTCTTTACTAGACGGAATTGCAACGACACGATGTGATAACTGCAAGATGCTTTCTGAGATTCCCTGTAAAAACAGCGCACTTTTATATATTTCTAGCAGTTCAAAGAGGAAAAGAGAGAAAGAGGAAGGGGGATGTACTGATAACAGCACATAAAAATATCTAGATTATAAACAAAGCAAAATCCAATTGCATTAAGTGGCCATAAATTGAAATTAACTATTCAACTAAAGATGTTTTCTGACTCATATCATTAAGCCAATCTAACGGTGTTTAATCTGGAGTCATACTTGTCATCTCGAAACTAGTTCTATTGAAGCTAATACCGTAAAAAACCCGTAGTATGACTAAAATTAAACAGTGAAGTAGATGTTGAGGAATTAGATTTTCAAAGTCTTTCTCAGTTTACCGTAAATCCGTCAAATAGCATTAGAAGCGGTTTATTCAAGACCATGCATGCTATAAGCTTTGAGACGAGGATAAGTGAGCAGAAGAACCTTTGTATATTTGCATTTATATATGCCTTGATTTGTTCTCACTGCCTGTCGTTGAAGGAGGCGGCCGCAACCATATATCCCCAAGAGCCTTCGTAAGCCTAGACCGACACTCAAAAAGGCTGAAGCTTTTCTGTGCACACTCTAAACTTCGCCGTTTCCACTTTACTTGGCTCTTGAAGATATTGGCTAAGAGGTAGATGCCCCGTCAACACATCCATCATAATACTAAATTGTCTTCTGCTTAGTGTACATAACAGTTTAGTCTGTCGAATAATAGGACGCAATGCTCCAAGACTTTAAGGGTTCCTCTATGGCCCACTACTTTAGACAACATTTGAAGACGCTGCAGGGTCCGAGTTAGTCTGTTTATTGTCGCATTGAAAGTTCTCACACATTTGGACTTATTTAACTTCCTTAATACTAAAAATTGCTAAATTGTCCACAAGTAACTTAATAGATTTCCCTTTGAAGCGTTTGTCTATTTGTACTATAGATAAATGGCCCCAAACTCTGCCTGGAGGTCGGAGTTTTAGTAATAGTCCCAGGAGCTGGCGCTGCTTCCTACATCACTTGTAAATTAATTGGTCTGAGGATGGTTTCCAGGGGTTTTATGAGGTAGTCTCATACGGCATGTTATATCAAGCAGACAGGTACGGCACTATTTAAAGTCTCTATTTGGGGTCGTAGAACCGATTTTGGCCCTAAGTCCTTTCTCCAAGTATTCCTGCTTTCGATATCCTCTGCAACTAAGTTTTCTTTATTTAAAACTTAAACTCGTGTTTGGTAAATTTATGCTTTTTCGTAAAAAGAAAAGTCTCAGAGTTTTTCGGGCCTTGCAGTGAGCCTCTCTCCCCCAATACGCGGAAATTTCAGGTGCACGCTCCATTACTCCTTATGACGATGAAGATATTTAGTTATGTACATAATAAAAGATGCTCTCTTTGAGGGCTTAGAACGATACTTATACATACGCCCATTGTGTAAGATCTGTCGAAAGAGAGTACGAAACCATTGCAAAAAAATCATATCATCGCTTACGTTATTTAAAGCCGACAAGATCAATGAAAGCCGACTCAGAAGCACACTACTGAGCTGTTCATTAACGAAACTAATTTCTTCTATTTCAGTGTTTATGGACTTCGAAATAGAGTTTTTACCCAATATAAAGGTACCCGAAATCTTGGGATCCAACCCTCGAAAAGGCTTCAGTATCAGTCTGCAAAGGAAAGCTGGTGAACACTGTCAGAGATTTACGCAAGAGATACCGAGCTCCGGGTCCAAGGCCGTGATCAAGTGATCCATAATAAAACTATAAATACCTATAGGTAGGCTAGTATTCCAGGGTAATTGATTGAGGGAGAGCAATACAACATACGTTCAATTTTATCAGAACAGTTCGGCATGCGGTACTTTTCTAACCAATTTATATTTTCTGTAGCATTTGATCATTCTCACATACATACGAGTGAAGTATAAATTTATTAATCTTTAATTTATTCCCTCATCTACTAATAATTTTTGAATGTAATGATTATTACTTATGAGAACTTATCTGCTTCAATCCAATGAACTTGTTTAATACAATGGCAATTAACAATTTTAGTTTACTTGATTAAGTTAATAAAATACCACTGACCTGCTCTAAGCTAAATTTATTAAGCTTGCAATTATTTATACACTCTTAACTCGTCACTGGATTAACGAAACTTTGCAAGTTGGGTTTTGAGTCTTCGAAATTGTGGTTAGGATTTTAATTAAACGGAAACTCGATATTCTCGCAGTTTGGAGCACCGCGCTGTGATTAGATTCCTTGTAAAAGAGGAAGTTAACCGAAAGAAATTTTTAAAGAGTTGTCATGGGTTCTTTTTTTTCCTTCATATGCGATTATGAAGAAATGGGTTCGGCTGTTTCATCAAGGAAGAGAGACCTGTGAAGATTGGTTTTGCCTGTTCGAAGATTGAAATTGCGGCAGATAACAGGATTAAAGATTAGCAAAGAACTTGCTGGAGCGATTTTGCACAAACATTTGACAAGCCAAAAAAATTCAAATTGGAAAAGTCGTAGTCAAAGTTTTTGGATACTATTTCCTGGGATAGCGAGGGAATGTTATTAATTGATTACTTGCCAAAGGGAACTACTTGGAACGGTCAGTACTACGCTCATTTGTTGAGGCAGTCGTACAGAAAAGACGGGACAAGCTAACGTACGGTGTGATGTTTCTTCAAGACAGCGCACTCGTTCAAACGGCTCGGGTTGCGAGGGATGCCCACCAGATTTACTTAAATATGACCATCCCCACTACAGTACGGATCTGGCTTCCAGTGACATTTTCCGTTTTTCGAATGTAAGAATGGAGTTACGGGAGACGACATTGAGGTGAAAGCGGTTGTAGAAATCCATTTTGAAGAGAAATCTGAAAAATATTTTTTTGGTGGTATTTTTAGGTTAGTCATCTTCGCCATCGGCGGCTCAAAATTCTTCAATTTGGCCTACGAGCAACACTTCACTGATCTGCTTGAGATGAAAATCATTTCCAGAATTTAAAAAGTAAAAGGTAAAGTCAGTAACAACTGCAATCTTAAAGCTTCTTCAGTATTAGATGCCTTGACCTTTATTAATTTTTATTAAAATAAAATATATAAAATGAAATAAGTAAATAAAACAAAGTAAAACAGAATTAAATAAATCAAGACAGATTTTAAGGAAATTTAATATTAAATATTTATTTTATATTATTTTCATATTTGAATATAATTTTTCATTATTCTGAATTTTACAGAAAAAATTATACATAAATGAAAATATAAAACTAGTTTTAATATAACTACATATATATATATATATATATCGATATATATTATAGTATAATTAAAATATGAATGAAGACAATCAAATAAAACAAAATACACGTAGGTTGTAATGAAATAAAATATTAAGCTTATTGGTTCTACTTTATTTTAGTTCAGTATAATCCTCTTTTACTATTAAATGAAAATTATTTGAAATGCAATTTTAAATAAATTTTGTTTTTTATTTACATAGTCAAGAGAAATGTTAATTCTCTAAATTTCTTTTTACACATCAGAGAAATTTATTTACTGAATCTGCTTTAAAATCTTAATAACTAATAAATTATTGCTTTAGCCCATTAAGAGCAGTGGAAGTTAGGTTAAAAGCTGCTCTTCAAAATACTGAAAGATCTCTTCTTCGAAGGCGAGTCCGACTTGGTGGGCAGGGTAACGTTCGCTAGAGGATTCGGTGTTTATACCAAGGTGCCCCTGTGAGGTATCGTTGCGTTTTTGATTGGAATCGCTGTATTTTATGCGCAGGCAGGCCCCATAACTGTATTCAGTACATCCGTTATGATCCAACCATAAATCCGAATTTTCACCAAGTAATCCATGCACCTGGCATGCATCTGGAAGGTCCGATCCATTAATTGGGTAAATGTCGCTGCCCAAGTGGTTGATGTCCTCGTAAGAATAAATCCTGACATCACCGCCGGCCAAGAAGTGCGATGGACGGGACAAGGACGAAAGCGAGTAAGTTCTTGTGATATTTACTACAGCGGCCATATAAAAGAGCGTAAATTTGGTGCAAAGGGTGGCATTCAGCCTTCACAACGAAACATCCCTTAATGGGTTGAGGCTGCTCGACTTCGCCGGGGCCCGAAATATGGTTGTCTATACGATCGACCAAAACACGTGCGGGATGGGATAGATCCCAAGAGATGAAGATGAAGAGGGAAACAAGACGCATTTGCAGACACAAAAAGAAAGAGCCGATATACGTGGGTATGAAGAGCTCAAAAATTCTATGAGAAGTTACGACAATTTACGGAAGGTTTAAAACCGGAGCAGACTCTTGTAGGACAAAAAGGGGTGATATAGTCGCGCCCAGAGTACACTGAACTTATGGAGACAACACTTCTCCAAATTGTTGAATAGTAGTGAAAATGGAAAATCCGGAGATGGTGAACCCGAAACCCCAATCGATGACGATAGAATAGACGTTCCATGACCTAATCATGAGGAAGTTCGAACAGCAATCGCCCGCTTAAAAAACAACAAAGTGGCGGGAACTTAAGGCTTACCGGCAAAACTATTCAAACATAGTGGTAAAGAGCTGACAAGGTGCATGCATCAGTTACTTTGCAGAAGATAGTCGGAGGAAGGCATGGAATTAAAATGTGCTCTGCCCAAACCATATAAGAGCGAATTACCGTGGGATAAACCTCCTTAATGTCGTTTACAAAGTCCTTTCGAGCGAATTGTGTGAAAGACTAAAGCCCACCGTCAACAAACTGATTGGACCTTATCACTGTGGATTCAGACCATTACACTGCTATGTCTGATTTTGGTATCCCCGCAAAACTTATACAGCAGTGTAAGCTGACGCTGGACAACACCAGAAGCGCAGTCAGAATTGAGAAGTACCTCTTTGAGCCGTTCGGTACTAAACGAGGTTGTCTTGTGATTTCTTCAATTTGATGCTGGAGAGAATAATAAGAGCTGCAGAGCTGAACAGAAAAGGTACAATATTCTATACGAGTGTACAACTACTGACGTATGCCG